CCTCTAAGCCCAGCGGAACACGGGGACAGTGGGGCAGTGGCACCCAGCCAGGGGAGGCTTCAGAGCACAGAGTAGGATACTCAGGAAGGCAGACACCGGCAAGGGGTGCCCACAGCTTCCAGTTTTCACTCCTAACCCTTCCTCGCTGCAGTGAGCCCCTGGTGGGGCACAGCAAAGGGAACCCGAGGGCACCTGCGCAGGCGCAGTCAGCAGAGGGGACCCCGAGGTGTTTCCGCTCCAGGTGCAATGGCTTCGCCACTGCATGGGGAGGATGGAGGTTGGGTGGCGATTGTCACCGCGTCACTGCTTGTGAGAACAGGCATGGAGGGTGCTGTACCATCACACGTGGGTGCTCAGGGCACTGGCTAAGGTGATCACTAGTCTCTGCCCTGCCACCCAGCCGTGGCACAGGATATCACGTGCTCCCGCGAGACCGCGGAAACCACTTCCCCTATCTCTTCCATCACACAGACCCACGTGGCCTGGTCTGGGACCTTTCTCTAAACGGGCGGGTGTCTGAGTACATGGTCTGCATTGATGTGAGTCGTGCTAGTGGACCTTTAGCAACACAGTGTGGTGGCCTCAGGCTTGCAGACTTGGGGACAGTGGGGTACAGGACACCAAGGGTCCTCAGCACCCCCCCCCCGCACCCCCAGTTGCTCCTGCCTATATGGCACACGCTCACGTGCCAGATGGAAGATGCCAGGTGAGGGGCCGAGGAGCAGGGACTCTGACAGGCGTGCATTGGGAGACGCGGCACAGACAGCCCAGGATGCAAGCCGGGCTTCCAGCCAGGTGCAGGGGTCACCAATACTTCCATGGTGAAAAGGGCTGCAGCTACAGCTTCCTGAGCTGCCCGAGGATGTGGAAAAGGCAGTGCATGGCTTTGGCCAGGTGCCTGGCAGCCTTCTAAGGCAGTGCAGCCTCAGCAGGGCCTGGCTCCCCATGGAGGGAGTGAGGACCGGGGTGTGATTTCGCCAGCAAGTCCTGGGGGCCAATCCTGGCCAGTGGCTGTGCCTTCCAGCGTCTCTCTGCAGGGTGCCACCCCAAGTCCTTTGCAGGGGCCTCAGAGATGGTCACAGGCTGGAAACAGCACCCACATCCTCTGCACTGTGGGCGTGGGAAAGCAGCTCCCAGCCTCCCGAAGGCCTACGGCTCCTCCGTACACGGGGATCCAGTGTCCTGGTCTTGTGGAGGCCCCAGAGGCTCAGGGCGAGGCCAGGCTGGCCAGGGTGGCCAGCTGGAGCCTTTGCCTTATATGACAGTGGCTGGGATAGCTCAGCTCAGGCTGTGCTCCTCTTTTGCCCGCCCGGCTTGAGCTCTTGTGCTCAGGGAGGCCTGGCCAGGTGGGGCTGGGCCATTTCTAGGGAAGGGAGAGCTGTGGCCGGCCCTGCCTGTGCCCGCCCTGCACACGCAGGCAGGCACAGGGTGGCAGGGGTGGGGGGTTGCTGCTTTTTCTCCCCACAGAGTACAGTGTGCACCATCTGGGAAACGGGGAGCAGTGGGTCCTAGCCTGGCTCCGCATCCAGGCGTCCCAGCGGGCACTGAGAGTGCAGGGAACAGGGGCCAGGCCAGGGGCGCTGGGCAGGCCCAGCAGAGGGGCCGTGCTCTCTGATGTGGGCTCCCTGAGTCCACTCACGCCCCCGCTGCTGTTTTGGTGCTTTTCTTCCTTCCTGGATCTCAGCCCAGCCTGGCCCGCCTCTTCCCTTCTGGATCCAGTGCCAGGGGCCTGCTGTGTGGCTGCTCCAACCCCCCCCCCCCACCGTGGCCTCGCTGCACTGGGCGGGGGATTAATGAAGGCCAGATGCCGCTCAGCTCAGCTCACTCTGTGCTGCTGTGGCCACAGCAGAGGCAGCAGCCTCGAAGGACAGGCCGTTTACCTCCCACTGTGTTCCCCATCCAGCTGCTGTGGGCTCCTGGGAACAGCTGGAAAGCAGGTCCCGGCTGACGGCAAGCAGAGCAAGCTGCCTTGGTGTATAATTTGGGGAACAGCAAGGGGCTGCCCCCGCTAACTGTGAAGTAGGGGCATGGTGAGGAAGAGGAGGTGAGGCTTCTATGTGCCCCAGGATTCTGCGCAGGGCAGGCCCCACTGGGCACAGAAAGGGGTCAAGGCTAAAGGAGGCAGAATCCTCACTCTACTTTACCAAGTGTTTCCGGTCAAGAAGGGAGGGAAGCCAAGTGTCATGGCGCTCACCAGTAGTCCCAGCACTGGGGAGGCTGAGGCAGGAGGGTCCCCATGAGTTTGAGACCAGCGTGGGCTACGTAGCAAGACCCTGTCTCAAAAAACAAAACAAAACAAGAAGTAAAAGAAAGGAGGGAAGCCAGGTGTGGTGGTGCACACCAGTCATGCCAGCACTCAAGAGGCTGAGGCAGCATGATCACTGTGAGTTCGAGGCCAGCCTGGGCTGCATAGTGAGACCTTGTCTCAAAAAACAAAAACAAAAAAAAAAAAAAAAAAAAAAAAAAAAAAGAAAAGAAAAGCGGGGGAGGAGGGGAATGGTTGGTTCTCCCACGGTTGCCAGATGCAGTGCAAATACCACATGGGGCAAACATGCTAAAAAAATTACCCTTTGTGTATCTGAAATTCAGATGTTACCGGCCTCTGCTTCGGTTTGCGAGGTCTGGCAGGCCCATCTTCCCTCCCGGCCGAGTTGCTTTTTTATGTGATGGTTTTATTGCTCTCCAGTGTACAAACAGAACAAAGCCCAAGCCGCTGGACATGCATGACTCAGTGGGTTTTCACAGGTCAGGCACCCACAGAGCCAGCACCCAGATCAAGAAATGAGAGGCGGCCGGAGCCGGCTCCAGGGTTGTTCCTCAGCACCCCACCCTCCACCTGCTTTTTCTGCTTTATTTTGTTTTTTGAGACAGAGACAAGGTCTCTCTTTGTAGCTCAGGCTGGTCTCCAACTGTTTGTTGCAACTGTCCTGTCTCAGCCTCCCTAGTGCTGGGATACAGGCATGCACCACCATGCCCGGCCCTCTCTGGTTTTTGTGCCTGGTACCTAGGAGCAGAGCTGCTGGTCCTGGGTAGGCACAGGTCCATCATCAGGTGCTCCTGCCCAGTGCTCTTCCCAAGTGGACGTGCCCAGCTGCACATGAGCACAGCAGCCCGCATCCTCCCAGGCCTTTCCCCGCCCAATGCTTTATCTCTTCTTCCATCAGCAGCCTCCTGTGCAGCCCCTCCTTGTTGCAGGAAATCAGCACAAGCCCCAAGGGGCAGACCCTGTATGGGGGCCTCTGATCCCAACTGCCCAGCCTCCAGGGGGCTTTGAAGGGGCACCCCCATTCCAGGAACCTTCGCCAGGAGCAGCAGTGGCCCAGGGAAGTTGCTGGGCAGCCTTCAGCGCTGGCCACCTTGGAGTGATAGGTCTGGGGCTGGGGCTATGACTAAGCGTGGTGGTCCTTCCTGAAGTCCTTTCCAAGGGAGGCCTCCTGCACCCTGCAGGTGACAGCTCCTGTCCACTCTCCTGTTCCTGGTGGTGGTGTGGGCACCGTCCAAGTGGGCGCCTCTGGGCTTCTCCAGCCATCTTGTGACCAGAGTAACTCCTGTCAAAGAACCTGGTCCCAGCGCATTCAGATTCTCCTCATGTTTCCACTGTGGGCTGCCCTGGCGGTGACTTCCAGGAGCCAGAGCCTACAAAGCAGGAGGCCTACAAGGCAGGAAGGGCCCAGCAGGAACCCTGGGTCCCATCCCCACAACTAGAAACCAAAGCCCCGTGGCCGACAGCCCCTGCCAATGGGGGCCAAGCAGTGCGCAGGGACATGAGAAGTAGTGCCCTCACGGTGGAGGTGGCAGGCAGGGGAACAAGACAATGTGACTGAGGGCATTCCGGGGAACCCGCGGGCCCTTCCTCCACTCCCATCCTCTCTCCTCTTGTGTTTAAGGAGTCGAAAGAACCAGAATCACTAACATTAGTGTTGAAAACCTGGCCAGGAGCTGGGTTTGCTGGTGGACATCTATAATCCCAGCTTTCGGGAGGCTGAGGCAGGAGAATCACTCAGTTGGAGGCTGTACTACATACTGGGATCCTGTCTCAAAACAAAAGGAAGCCTGGTCTTCGCTGCTAGAGAGAAGCTCACCATGGCATGGGCACCTTAGAGGAGGAGCCCCAACTCACTTGTCCTCTCTCTGCCTGGTGCCCTATTCGTTTCTCCCAGGGCATACCCCTGGGGGGCAGGATGGCCACAGGAGCAGCAGCACACCTGGGCCAAAAGTCCACCGCAGCACTAAGGCTACCTCTCAGGGAATCCAGGGTCAGGCCTCCCATCGAGAAATTCCCTGGACCCTGGGTGAAAAACAGCGAAGTTTGAATTGTGGAGAGCAGGACGTTCCCAGAAGGAAATGTTTCTCTCTTCTGAGTCACTTTCTTTCCTGCAGTGTCGAGAATGAAACCAGTCACACGCACACACTCTCGAAGGCTACACAAGCCTTGTACCACTGAGCCACCCTCTGCCCTGCTCATCTTCCCAGATCTGCACCCAGATACCAACACAGAGGAAAAGGAATATTATGAACCACTGCTGGGTTGGTTCTGTTTTTTTGAGACAGGGTCTCACCATGTAGTGCAGGCTGGATTTGAACTCACTGTATAATCCAGGCTGTCCTTGAGTGGGTCGATCCTTCTGCCTCAGCCTCCCAGGTGCTGGGATTACAGGTATGTGCCACAACAGGGACTCTTCACGCTGAGTTATGTCCCCAGCCCTTTTTCAGAGTCGTTTTTGTTTTTAAATTTCAGATAGGGCCTTGCAAAACTGCCCAGGTTGAACTCAGATTCACAGTCCTCCTGCCTCAGCCTCCGAGTGTGGGGACTGCAGGCACGCACCACCACCAGGCCGGCTTTGACCACTTTTGAGTAGTCCTGTGCCTGTTCATCTCCACAGATCCACATGGATATGGAGAGGGGTCTCCTCTCTCTGTGGGTGTCCCATGCCCACCCCCAAGTTTACCCAGCCCCCAACTTGCCGCCCCCTCAGGTCCCTCTGCTCCTTCTCTCCCAGGCAGCTTCGAAGCCAGCTCAGCCTCGTGGTCATTGCCCGGATGTTGGGCCTGGAAGAGGCACTCCCTCTCTGGAAAGAGAAGCGCCAGGTGAGTTGGCCTCAGCCAGGCAGGAGGCCTGTGAGTGGCCACCCCATCCCCCAGACCTCCACCCCCAGGCTTGGCCAGGGTTTGGGTGCCTCAGCCCAGAATGGTAAGCTAGACTTGAATTTTCCCTCTAATTCTTTCCTCCCACAATTCCCGGGGCTGGGACACCACGTAGAGGTTCTGTGCCTGCCTAGTACACACGCCCACGTTCTGCCCTCGGCACCATCAGGAAGTGGGGGCGTGCACCCACGGGCCTGGCTTCCTGGGAGGCTGAAGCAGGAGGAGCCCTGGAGGCCAGCAGTTTAAGGTCGCTTAGGCAACGCAGGAAGAGCAGTGTCTTAAAAACTCCTCTTTGTCTGTCTACTGTGTGTGGGACCCAGTGGTGAGCTGGAGCCTGGCTCGTTTGCGTATAAATTCTGATAAAGCAAGCACCTGTGATCCCAGCACTTGGGAGGCTGAGGCAGGAAGGTGGCCAGCTTACACTGCAGAGCGAGTTCAAGGCTGGCCTGAACTACATAGTGAAATCTAAAACAGTACCTTAGGGTAAAATACCCGTCACTATCACCGTTTCAACTCGTTTCACTGCCTGGGTCACCAGATGCATCCGTACTTGGGAGGTATTTCCTGCACTGACCTTGCCGCCATCCACTGGCTGGACCTTTTCATCTTCCCCATCCTGAGTAACATTAACTTCACCCCTTCACACCCCCAGCCTCCGCTTAGGACCGTTTTAATAGGTGGAAGAACAATAAAATTGGGAACAAACACTGTTAGGGACAGGGCGTTAAGACAGCCTTGCTACGTAGCCCAGGCTGGCCTGGAACTTGCAGCAATCCTCCTGCCTCAGCCTCCCGAATATAGGGCTCACAGGTGTGTACCACCACACCTAGTTTAGAAACAAATAATTATTAAATAACAACGCCTCCCTGCTGGTATCCCCGGAGGCAGCAGGGGGTCAGTTCTGTCTTCCTCCATTCCTCTGCCTGCTCAGGGGCTCTGATGCAGGTCACAGCCCACTGTGTGGGAGCCTTGGAACAAATGGCCAGGTGGGCAGTCGTGCTTCCTCTGGCGGCCACCCACCCTGGCCAGCAGCCCCTGAGCGCCCTGCACCGACTGCCGCCTGACTGCACTCTAGGACTTGGGTTCTCTCTTCTGGGTGGCTTCCTGCCCACTCATGCCTCAGAGCAGAGGCAGCTTGAGAATAGAGGACTGGGTGGAGAGGAGGCTCAGTTTTGGGGTGCATGGGGAGAGGACAGGGGAGGAGTGGCCGGGCCGAGGTCGCTGCCCAGAAGGAGTTGGGGAGACTGAGGGTGCCCCTCAGGCGCCCATTGATTCAGGGCAGAAACAACTGAGGCAGAGCAGGCTCCGCTGAGGCAGATGGGGCCCAGGCCTCGAGTGCACCTGGCGGGAAGGGGATGGCTTGGCTAGAGGGGCTTCCTGGCCCCAAAGAGAGCTAGGGAGGCAGAAGTGAGGCAGGAGCTGAAAGGTGCCCCGGGCAGTGTGGGGGGCGGGCCAGGCCTCCCCCTGCCCATCCACCCACCTGCCTGCCACAGCGCCATCCGCCCCTTGGACCTGGCTGAGCTGCATGTGCCAGGCTCTGTCTTGGGCCTGGACACTGCTGAACTCTGGGGAGGTGGCACCAGATGACCTCTCCGGAGGTGAGCAGGCGCCGTGTCTCACTCTGCCCCAGCTCTCAGAGATGCGAGGAGCTGGGTCTGGAGGGTACGCCATGCCCCAGAGCTGCCAGGTGGGCAGGGCTGGCAGGGACCTGTCCTGGCCCCACTGCCTCCTCTGCTGCAAGCCCCGGCTACCCCCAGTGCCTGCCCACTCAGTCGGTGGCCTGTCTCCGGCTGCAGGGCACTGGCCTTTCCGGTCCGGCCTGTCAGGTGATTTCCCCGGCAGTGGGCTTCAGAGGCCCCTGCACTCCATCTCCAGCTCCCTGCCATGCCCCCCACCGCCATGCTCTGTGTCCTCCCTTGCAGCAGCTCGGGCTCTGGGGACTGGAACCTTCACTGATGCTTTATTCTTTATCGTTTTGGTTTTTTAGACAGGATATCGCTGTGTAGTCCAGGCTGGTCTTGAACTCATTGTATACCCCAGGGTAGCCTAGAAGTCACAGTGCTCCTCCTGCCTCAGCCTCCCGAGTGCTGGGATGACAGGTGTGCACCACCACACCCAGCTCTTGGTCATTTTTTTTAGATGGGGAAATCAAGGCAGCGAACCCTCCCAGGGCCACACCTGCAGCTCCCAGCTGGGCCTGCCTCGAAGGCCTCCGCCACAGGGATTCCTGCTGGGTCTTGGGGAGATCCAGGACCCCGCCTTCCTTCCTGGATTGCTGCATTGCATAGCCCCCGGCTCTGGGTCTGAGAGGGGCAGAGGGAGGGGCTGCAGGGTGGGGAAGGATCTGCAGAAGCCGCCCTGCCGCCTGGGGCTAGAGAGGGAAGGGCTGAGGACTCTGAGGGGTGGGGGTCCTGCTGCAGGGGTCCGGGCTGCACCCAAGGTGCTTGCCTTTCCTGCAGAGTTCTGGGATCCAACTAGAAGTTCCTGCTATTCCGCTGGGTGCCAGCGATGTTCCTGGAACTGCTGCTTTTTAGCCTCGAGCCCCAGCAGGCTCCAGACACTGCTCAGGGCGTGGGAGACAGAGCTGCATAGGCGTATGTGCGGGGGAGGGGGGGCAGATGCAGGCAGACACATGGAGAAAGCAGAAAGATGACAACAAGTGCACTGGAGGGAAAAAATCAGCTGAAGGGAGAGCAGGCATGGGCAGGGCACCATCGAATAAATAAAGGGGAGCAGCGGCTGGGGATTTAGCTCAGCGGCATAAGCACCTGCCTTGCAAGTGCGGGGTAGTGAGTTCGATCTTCAGTACTGATAAAAACTAAAAAATAAATAAGGGAGAACAGGCCAAGAGGCCTGTGAGCACACACCTAAAGGAAGAGGGGCGTTTTGATAGGGAAGAGCAATTCAGTCAGTGAGTACTGCAAGAGCAAAGGCCCTGGGGCAGGCAGACCTTCTTAGGTTGAAGGGGAACAAAGAGGAGGGTGTGGCAGAAGAAACTTTGGGAGAAGCCTTGGGTAGAAAAGGAACAGAGTCTGTTCTGTGGAATTTTCCAAAATTGCCCTGGGTGGAGCCCAGACTATAGAGATGTGGAGGAAGGCTTCACCTCCTGGCGGTTGTCATGGAGCCTTTCAGCCTGCCTTGGTGGCTCCCAGGCCAGCCAGCAGAGACAGGATGCTCAGGGTGGCAGAGGAAGTACTGAGGAGCCAAGCAGGGCCGGGACAGAGCCAGGTAGAGCGGGGCGGAAGGGAAGTCAGGGAGTCTGTCTCTCACCCCAAGCTGCTTGCAACACAGGGAGGCTCTATCCTCAGACCTTGTCCTCCAGTGTGACAAAGGGGGCCACAACCGACCTAAATAAGGGGAGTAAGAAGGGACATCTGCTAGAGCAGGTGAGCCTGGGCCTGCCCCGCTATTGGTTCATGCATTCACCTAGCAAATACTTACAGAGCCTATGCCACGTGCCAGGCAGAGTGCTGGGCCCTGCCAGCTTCCACCTTAGGCAGGCAGGAGAGCAGGTAAGAAAGACACAGTTGCCAGGCATGGTGGTGCATTCCTGGACTCCCCGAGCACAGGAGGCTGAGACAGGAAGATCACCCTGAGTTCCAGGCCAGACTGGACCACACAGCAAGACTCTTATCACAAACAAACAAAACAAAAACCCACGGGAGTAGGGCAGCTCTGCAGACCTACAGTCAGGGCCTGGGCTTAGGGCTGCAGCCCGGGTCACTGGGGTCACCTGGGTTCTCACAGACACTTAAAAACAGCCACCTCCTGTGCAGTCAGGAGCCAGATTGTGAGCACAAGAGGAGGCCTCATCATGGTTGCTTGCCTCGATGGAATCCATATCCCTGCCCGGCCAGGCCAGCAGAGGCCTGATCATTAGCTTGTCACCCCAGGAGTCTGCCCCACCAAGCTGGTGTTACAGAGGTGACCCCTCAGCCACCCAGAGTGGGACTGGGAAGGTGCAGCTCTGGTCCTGGACCCCAGGACCCATGGGTCTCACACAGGCCCGGATTCTGCAGAGCAGTTTGTCTGGAGGAGGCAATGAGCTGCAAAGCGACAGGGAATTAGCAGTCGGATCACAGGCAGCTGGCAGAGCTGTATGCAGGGATCCAGAGGGAAGCCACAGGCGTGAGCCAGCAGGCCACTGTCCTGGGCTCTCCACGCCCACCTGGCCAGGCTCCAGCCTAGGGCACAGGGAGGGTCCGCTAGGGTAGGGCTGAGGCGGGACGTAGGCCAAGCCCTGGTGCTTGCACAGCTGTGCACAGAGCAGGCCGAGCTGTTTCGGAAACCATCCCCAGACAGAGCCTGCGCAAGACCCTCAGCCCTGAGGCGGCATCTCCTGGTGCAGAAACCTGCTCCTCCTGCCTGCAGAGCCCTCTCCCCTTCCAAAGCGGTCACACATACACACACACCAGGCAGGGAACCCCTTTTCCCCACCTCTGGAAGCCAAGGCCAGCCTGACTCGGAGCCCCCAACCCAGCTGCTCCTGTGGGCTGCCCAGGCCACTGCAGGCCGAGGTGGTGAACAGGTGGCACGTGTGAGTCACCTCAGGAAGCCAGGTGTGGGGCAGGGCCAGGCCCAGCAGGGATGGGGCCGGGGGCTCTGGGCCTTCGCCAGTGACCACACTGCACCTGTTAGGTCCAAGCAGCTGGTGCCCTGTGAGCCACCCTGGCTCTGGCCCTGCCACCGCACCATCCCCACTCAGCCACACCTGCTGCCCGACTGTGGCCTCGAGGGAGGAGGGTCTGCCGCAGCCCCCCAGGGTGCAGTGGCGTAGGGTTCCCTCCCAGTGCGCTCCCAGCCTGGAGAAAGGGTGGGAAGTTTCTTCAGACTCTAACTGGGGCTGGGCGTGGTGCTGCGTGCCTGTGATGCCAGCACTCTGGAAGGCTGAGGCAGGAAGATTGCAAGTTTGGGCCCAGCTGAAGGAACTTTTCAGCTTAACAAGACCCTGCCTCAATAAAGACACGTAAATACACACATAAAATAACAAAAATAGGGCTGAGGACGTAGCTCAGAGGTAAGAGGGCTTTTTACACACAAAGGGGAGGTGGAGTGCAGGTAGGTTAAATGCTGCAACTTCCAGATTTGCATGGGAGCCTCGTTGGGATCCTGTCTGAACAGAGGGGCTGGGCCAGGACATTTGATCAGAGCCAACCCCAGATGTGGAACAAGAAAATAGGGGCAGGCGGGGGACCCTCCTTTTCTCTTGTGCAGTAGACAGGCAGAAATGATCCAGTGTGAGCCAGGTGTGGTACACGCCTGTAACCCCAGCACACGGGAGGCTGAGGCAGGAGGGCTGACCTGAGTCCAAGGCCAGCCTGGGCTACAGAGTAGTTCGAGACCAGCCTGTGCTCCCTAGTGAGACCCTGACTCAAAAAACAACAAAATATTCTGAGGCAGGGAAGGGTATGGCAGGGACAGAAGGAAGGGCCGGATGAGCAGGCCCACCAGTGCTGACTGTGGGTGTTCCCAGGTGATGGACCACAGGGGCTGGGACACCATCTCTCCCCAGCCCTGTGTGTCGCATGTGCCACCGTGACAAGGTCAGGGAACAGAGAAGGACACGGCTTGCACACGGCAAGCACGATGGCGGAGGAGGAGTGGCTCAGACGGGAAGGGACTGCCCCGCAATAGGGCCTTGCCCTGCCTGTTGTCCTGCAGGCAGTGGGTTGAATGCTTAGGGCTTAAAAAGCTCTTTCTTTTTTCCTCCTTTCTTCCTTCTTTTTACAGTTTCTCAAGATAGGGTCTTGCTGTGTAGTGCAGGGTGGAATCGAATTCTCAGGAGTCCTCCTGCCTCAGCCTCCCCAGTGCTGATATTACAGGCAGGTGTCACCATGACTGGCTGAAGGTCCTGTTAGGGAAGACTTACCCTCCACCACGGGTGTATGTGTGTGTATTTGACAAAGACCCTGGGAGACCCTCCTCTCTCAGGAAGGTGTGCAGCCTGTCCTCCAGCACCATATACTCAGAGTTTGAGGTTGCGCAGCTCCCGCAGGACAGGTGGTTTGGTGTCCCCAGACACCTGCACACTCGGCCTGCTGCCACCTCGTGAGTGACAGCCTCCCTTCTCTCCCCAGCTGTCCTTGCTCAGCCGGCTCCTGGGTCTCATGAAACCGTCAGCCCTCAGGCAGCTCCCGGACTTCCAGCCCTCGCCAGCCTGCCAGGAGCAGCAGCCCAAGGCCAGCGTGGAGCTAGACCACAAGGTGAGTGGGCGCCAGCACCTGTGGGCCCCACTACCACCATCACCACCGCCTCAGCCTCGTGTAGTGGGGAAGGGAAGACTGTGTGCCGGGCGGCTCCGGGGCCTGGGCCTGTAGCTGCGGGTCCTCCAGAACCAGCCGGGCTGGGACAGAGGCCAGCGGGCGGCCGTGCAGGGAGGACATGCTCATCATCTCCCCAAGCCTGTAATTAGCGCCTTGCCCTCAGAGTACGCAGCCGCAGGTGAGGCCATATGGGCAGGTGTGCAGGCGGAGGGGCTCATGCTTGTGTCCTCGGCATCATGGTTAGCGGAGAAGCACCCAGCTGGCCTCACAGGACAGTCTGGGGGTGAAATGCTGCGCTTGGGGAGGGCGGGAGCGTGTTTAAAGGAGGTACAGGGGCCAGGTGTGGTGGCACACGCCTGTAATTCCAGTGCTCAGACGCTGAGGCAGGAGGATCGCTATGAGTTCAGGGCCAGCCTGGCCTACCCAGTGAGTTCAAGCGGAGCCTGAACTGCATAGTGAAATCTTGCCTCAAAAACCTGAGAAGAGGGGGCTGGGGATTTAGCTCAGCAGCATAAGTGCCTGCCTTGCAAGCAGTCGTGAGTTCGATCCCCGGTACCAGTAAAAATGAAAAAGACAAAAAAAAAAAAAAAAAAAAACCCTTGAGAAGAATGAACAAATACAGGGGCTGCCTAGTTGCCACAAGTGTCTTTTTCTTCCTTTTTGTGGGGCACCTCTGGGCCCAACCTCCCTGTTTCTTCCAGTGACTACTACAAGGCTCACTACGCCCCCATTCTCCCTAATTGACTTTCCAGACCTTGTCCTGCTATCCGCAAGCCAAGCTCTAGCAGAAGTCAGGGCAGCAAGGTAGCCCAGGGCCAAGAACAGGGAGGTCTGTGGGATGAAAGCAGGGCAGGGCAGGGCAGTGGGCACCGAGGGCCCAGCTCCCTGGGGCGCAGGGGATGAGGGATCTCCAGGGGTTTCCCTGTGCCAGGAGGCTTGAATGGAAGGAGATAGGCATCTTCCCAAATTCCAAATACCAGCTCGCAGGTTGGATCCCCCATCTAGAAGTCCAGCCTTTGGGCACCGCTCCGCAAATCAGATAAAGGGACTAATTACTTAATGAACACAAAAGCACCATTAAGACGCCACAATCGCCCCCAGGTGCCTGCACCCCTTCCCGAGCACCAGGCCAGGCCGGCTATCTTTCCGCAGCCAGGCTAATATTAGTGCCTTTACGAGCCGGGCCTCCTGAGAGTGCCAGCAGCTACGTGCCGCTTCCCCTGTGCCAAGCAGTTTCCCCGGGAAGCAGAGGCTGCGGAGGCTGCTGGTGGGGGCCTGGATGGGGGCCTGGGGCTGGGCACAAGCTGGCTGAGGAACCTGTGAGATGCACCCCCCGGGGTAGCTGCCGTGTTGCAGGTGACCCGTTGGCCTTGAAGTACCGAGGGGCCAGCGTGGCTTTGTAGGGCAGCACGAAACCAAAGCTGTGCTCCCAGGGGTTGGAGAAGCCAGGGCCGAGACCAAGGCTTCCGCTTCCTTCAGGCAGGTGGAGCAGAGGCTACAGGGCGAGCTCTGTGCCCCTGGCTGCTGCAGCTGCTGGGCTGGGCCGGACTGGGAGCAGGTAAGTGGGCCCGGCTCCCTGCTCCCAACTCCGCCTCCTCATTAGGCCTGAGCCTGTTTCATCTTCAAAGCTGCTCGGCTGCTCCACCAAAGGAGGGGTGGCGTCCCAGGCCTGTTTTATGGGGAGCAGTGGTCTGGCCGGGCCCAGCTTTTCATCCTCGGAGCTCAAAGTCTTCAGGTTTTGTTGTTGTTCTGTTTGTTTTGTTTTGTTTCTGCTTCTTGAGTACCTTGGGGAAACTGAGACCAGAGCCGGTTCAGCCTGAGGTGACCTAAGGTGAAGAAAACGGCTGCGTGCCTGCCCATCCCCCCTGCCCAGCTCCCTCCTGTCTGGGAGATTTCCTGCCCCAAACTGCAGGTCACAGTTCTCCTCCAGCCTTGCAAATAAACACTCCTGCCCTGCCCATCTCCTCCGGGCTCCTCTGGGCTCAGGCTCCCACTGCTTTCTCTCTGCCTGAGGAGGCACCGGCCTAGCGTCCTCCCTGCTGCTAGGAAGAGGCCCAAGGCTCACTTGGGGTGGCTTTGCCTGTGCCCCTTGTCTGGCTGTCTCACTGGGCCACCGACACAAACTGTGTCCCTCAGCTGTGCATTCTGTTCTGCAGGTGGATGGGTGGATGGATGGATGGATGGGTGCGTGGGTGGGTGTATAGATCATCCTCTCTCATTCTTCTCTGCTTTCTTCAACTCATTCTGGCCATTTGTCCTCCTGCCTCTATTCCGGAAACCATCCTTAGGGCCAGGGATTTAGCTCAGTGGCATAAGCACCTGCCTGGCAAGTGCAAAGTCATGAGTTCGATCCCCAGTACCAAAAAAAAGAAAAGAAACCATCCTCCCTCTGTAGTCTTCTGGTCTAAAGTCCTTGTATCATCAAGGCCACAGGAATGTCCAGTGCAGGCTCCTGCTGGAGCCCTGGACTTCAGAAGCATTACCTGTGTGACACAGGAGCCAATCGCAGGGCCTTGTTGGTAATTATAAGTTAGGAGGAGCCTGCATGGAAAAGCTAACCAAGTCCTTGAACAAAAGAGCCAACTGCGCTGGCTCAGGCTCCATGTGGGGGTGGGGAACAGAGGCAGGGCTGCAGGGGGCTGAGGCAGGCAGGGGCAGGCAGGGTGCTCCCCAGGCTGCTATCCCTGGCTGGGTCAGAGTCACCTAGCAGAGCTCATGTGGAAGATCAGAGCTTCCAGGGAAGCCTGCTTCCTAGGAAGATCAGAGCACTTGTAGTGTGGTAAAGTGCTGAGCCAGCTGGGCACATGCACTGGCACGCCCCGGAGTCCCAGCCAAGGAGAGAGGCCGAGGCTGGAATTGGAAACCAGCTCAGAAAGAGGGAAGGAACAGAGGAGGGGAGGGAGGGAGGGACAGCAGGCAGAACCCCTCAGTGGCTGATGGCGGCCTAGGGCTTGGCTGGCCAGAGAAGATAAACATCTGGATGGGAGGAGGCTTGGTGCCTGCCACAGCCTAGTAAGAGCCAGGTGGCCCCGGACATCTGCAGAGAGGGACCCAGAGCTCTGAGCCCGGGGCCCCCAGTGCTTCCCTTGGGTCCAGGCACCTTCTGCAAGAGCCCTTCCTGGCCTGTGTTTGTAATACTTTCCCCTTGGCCTCTGCACACCCTAGTTACAATATTTGACTCCAGAAACTTAATGTTTTTGGCAGTACTGGGCGTTGAACCTGGAGCCTTGAACCTGGAGCCTTACACTGTGCCCCAGCCTTTTAATTAATTTACTTATTTGTTTCCAGATAGGGTCTCTCCATGTAGACCAGGCTGACCTTGAACTCATTAGCCTAGGCCAGCCTCAAAATTGCAGGTTCCAGGCACGCAGGCTCCTGCCGCAGCCTCTTGAGTAACTGGGATTATAGACATGTACCCCTGCGCCTGGCTAACGATTCATTTCACCTCTGTGTTCCCCGGGCGCCAGCTCAGACCCCTCCTCCCAAGATGAGCGTTTCCTGGGGTCCCTCACTTCCTTTCCCCGGCAGTGTAAACTGCGTGCTGCCATGTTTGGTCTAGCTGTGCTTTGTCCCATCTTGGGGTCCCGGCCACTCACTTTCATTCAGATGATGGATGTTTCTGTCTTAGGAAGTCTGCAGTCTCGTGTCTGTGTCTCTTCGCCACACTTAACTGTTGGCTTTTGCTTTGTCTGGGTGCCTGATGTGTGTGTGTGTACATGCGCGTGTGTATTCTGTGCTTGTGCCTATGTATACACACACAAGAGTTTGTATATCTGTACTTTCATTTGTATTTTTTTGGCGCTGGGGAGCAAAGACAGGGCCAGGAGCATGCTGAGCGCAGAGTGCACCCCCAGCCCATGTGCTGTATTGACGGGAATTTTTGTTCTCCTTTTTACCCCTGTGAGGTCCCCCTGGATGTCACGTGGGCTTCACAGAGGGTTGCCCATCTGTGACCACCTGGCCAAGCCGGGGCTGCACGCAGATAGCTCTGAGCCTTCCTCCAGGTGCACCTCTGGTAAGGTCCTGGCTCTGTGCCCGAGGCCTGAGGACACCTGTTTATGGGGAGGCGTGTTTGTGAAGAGGTGGTTTTACGCGGCGCGCGCTCCCAAGCGTGGGCGATGCTGGCCGAGGCTGTACAGATTTGGTGCGCTGGCCTGTGGAGGGCGTGGCCGTGCGTGTGCGTGCGTGCATGCGTGCGTGCGTGTGTGTGTGTGTGCTGCACGTCTCCCATAAACCTTGCGTGCCCTATGTGTGAAGAGAGTTGGCGAACGAGTTTTGCTGCTTTTGCTGAAGCTGCTGGGATTGCAGGCTGCAGCTGTCGGTCCATTGCCTGCGGGGTGACCCAGCCAAGAGCCGCCCTCACTGGAGACTGCAGTGGGGAACGGCCGCCGCCCCAGCTTTGCACTCCTGACCCAGCAAAGGGACATGCGCCTCCCCCGGTGTGGCCGAGTCACAGGCCCCTCACGCTGTCACCCCAAGTCCAGAACAGCCCAGAGTTCCCTCATCCCCTGGACATGTGTGTCCTTTCCCTCCTGGGAACAGCCCCGCCCCACTGGGCTGGGGACTTGGGTTAGGAGCCCTGGGAGGAGACTGCCCAGTTTGGGGAACAGAAAATAGACATTCGGGACTCCTGAGTTCCTGCCCTGCTGGCCTGCGGTCTCTGGTGTCTTACTTCCTCCAAGATCAGGAGCGTGGATGTCTCTGACACAAACCTCAAAAGCCATCGTCTGGCTCTGCCTGGGCCCCAGAACCAGACTTCTCTGCAGCAGGGCCTGGGATGATGGGGACCCCCGAGGGCAGGCAGGTGCCCTCTGGTAGCTTTCACTCAAGTACCAGCTCTGCCTCTCGCCAGCCAGGCCCAGCCCTCTAGGAGCCCCTTGGGGTTTCTCTGCCTGGGCAACTCACTCAGCTTCTTTTTAGTTTACTTTTGTGTGTGTGTG